GTTCGAGGCCAGCCTGGGCTACCAAGTGAGCTCCAGGAAAGGCGCAAAGCTACACAGAGAAACCCTGTCTCGAAAAACCAAAAAAAAAAAAAACCCGCAGAATTTTTTCCATACTGAACAGCTTCTACCACGGCGACCATGAGCTAGATGCCCAGTTTAGGTTTAACTTCCAAATTCTTTTGAAGCCTTCTCTCTGTACAACCAAAGCTGCAAACCAACCTGGACAGGCTTCTTCTTTGTGTTGTCCTCCTCTTCCTCCTCCTCATCGCTGGATTCTTCACTACTGCTGCTCTCTGAAGCTTTGGCTACTGCCTTCGCCGCATGCTGCGGCACGCTGGCTCGCTTGGCAGGTCCGGCTGAACACAAGTACAGGTGCCCAGAGGCTCACCATGCTGTCCAGGCAGGTGTCGTGGAATGCTCTTCCCCAAGCACCCCACCCTGCACCGCCTTACCGGGCTTCTTTGCTGAGGACCCTTGGGCCTGTTCCTCTTCCTCACTGCTGTCCTCACTGCTGTCACTGGAGGAAGTCTCCTTCTTAGCCTTCTTGGTCACTGGTCCATTTGACTGTGATTTCCGCTTCGAGGCTGTGGTGGACCTGCTGATGTAGGTTAGGCTGACTTCTGAGGGATCAGGGCCTTCTCAACCAAGACACAGAGCCCAGCCCACCTGGGGAGAAGACAGCCCAAGTGTACCAAGGAAAGCTTACTTGAGCCAGAAGCTATAGATGTCCAAGAGGGACGAGGCATTGGCATCCTGCTGCGTCTGCAAGAAAAGCGGCTGAGTTAAAGAAACGCTAGGATTCCCTAGTCAGATTCTGCCACTCTTTCGTCAAATGCAATCTATCAGCCAGCCGTGGTCCCAGCACCTACAAGACAGAGGCAGGCAGATCTGAGGTTAAGGTCCGCCTGACCAACAGACAGTTATAGGACAGCCAGGGCTATGTAGAAGACACTGTCTCAAAAAAAAACATAAATAAATAAAAGTTATCTGTTACTTACCTACTCAATTTGAAAGTGATGCTAGATCTTCATAAGATTCTTACTACTTGCATAAATTAGGAGAAAAAAATTCCACTTACACCAGGTGGTGGTGGTGGTGGTGGTGGTGGTGGTGGTGGTGGACGCCTTTAATCCCAGCACTCGGGAGGTAGAGGCAGGCGGATCTCTGTGAGTTCGAGGCCAGGAAAGGCCCAAAGCTACACAGAGAAACCCTGTCTCGAGGGGAAAAAAAAAAAACCCACTTACATATATCCTGGCTTTGAGCATAAGAAAATGGGCTACTTCTGATATAGTATATCTACTCCTAAACCTTTCCATCCATATGTTTCAATGTGTTAGATTTCAGCAATTAATAATACTGATAGAGTATTAACTGAGAGGCTGGAGAAATGGCTTAATGGTTAAGAGAACATACTACTCTTCCAGAGGACCTGAGTTCATTTCCCAGCACCCACCAGGAGACTCATAAATACCTGTTAACTCCAGATCCAGGGGGTTCTGATACCTCTAACCTCTGCAGGCACCTGCACTAATGTCCACCATTGTGAGCTTAACTAACTTCTAGGAAGGCACCAGGTGGCCGGGCGGTGGTGGTGCAGGCATTTAATCCCAGCACTTGGGAGGCAGAGGCAGGCTGATCTCTGTGAGTTCAAGGCCAGCCTGGTCTACAGAGTTCCAAGACAGGCTCCAAAGTTATACAGAGAAACCCCATAACAGGAGGAAAAAAATAAAGGCACCAGGTGTGGTGGCACATACCTTTAATCCTAGCACTTGGAAGGGAGAGATAGGTAGATCTGAGTTTGAGTCAGCTTGGTCTATATAGTGAGTTCCAGAACAAGCAAAAAAAAAAAAAA